AATAGGACTGTGCTTTCAGCTACATTTCCCCCAATTCTAACGTAATGCTTTCTTTTGCGGACGACGTTAAGAAACCCCCAGAGCGTTAGCACCTACCACACGTTAGCATCTTCCCTCCCGTGACGTGGCCACGCTGCTCTCTAACAATGTACAGGCTGCTGTAAAAATTCACTGAAAGACGCGTGTGCAGCTCATAGAGCAAAGCTTGGGGTGTAATAATCGTGAAGTAAAGTTCCCGCAGCTTATCCCTCTTCTCCTGCAAGGAGCCCAATGTACAGCTTTATGCTGATAGAGAAACTCCCAAATCCCGTTTCTCGCACGGAGTCTAGTCTCGAGACTGGTCTTTCCCAGGTGGCAGGAGTGTCCCCTCAGGACTCGTCCTGGCTTCCCACTGCCCCGGATGCTCTCGACCACACGGGAGGCTGTCGTAAGAGCCCAGGGAAAGTTCTAGCAGGTTCTCTCCCTTCCTGCCACACCATGACTTCTGATGACACCACATTTTTTCCCTCTCTATGATACATAACTTTTTAATATTTTATTCTTTTAAAGATTTTATTTATCTTTAGAAGGAAAGGGAAGGAGTGAAGGAAAGAAATATCAATGTATGGTTGCCTCTCATATGTCACCTGCTGGGAACTAGCCTGCAACCCAGACATGTGCCCTGACTGGGAAACGAACCGTGATCCTTTGGTTCGCAGGCCCGCGCTCAATCCACTGAGCTACACCAGTCAGGGCTCACCTGTCCTTTCTATGGGGTTCTCCTGGTGCAGATGTGTTACCTGGAACACAGAGAGTTCATACTGTCCGGTGAGATGTGTTCTGAGCAGCGCTGTAACCTGAACGACAAGCTACTGGGTTTTAGAGCTCGGTAGACTCGACCGGTTTCAGATGCAGCAAAAGACCGATGGTGAGAGGCAAAGCCGACGGCAGAAACCGTGTGTTCCCAGTGCCCCTGTAACCGCAGTAGGTCTGAATTAAAAAAAAAAAAAACACAAAAAAGAGAGATCTGAATTCCTAAAATGGGGTCAGCTTAATAAGGATTAATTGTGCTTAAAGTTTGACTCACCTGTGATATTCTACATCAAAAGGCCACTGTTTATTTATCTATTTATTTTAAAATTATTTTCTTTTTCTTTTTCTTTTTCTTTAAAAAGACTTTATTTTTAGAGGGGAAGGGAGGGAGAAACATCAATGTGTGGTTGCCTCTCGCACGCCCCCTACTGGGGATCCGGCCTGTAACCCAGGCATAAACATGTTTCTGCCTGGGTTGCGGACGGGATCTGGGACTGACTGAGACTGTAACCGTCGACCCTTTGGTTTGCAGGCCAGTGCTCAATCCACTTTACCACACCAGCCAGGGAAAGTGATTTTATTTTTTAACCACAGTTGACATACAATATTATGTTAGCTTCAGGTGTACAAGGTAGTGATTAGACATTTATGTAACTTATGAAGTGGTCACCCCAGTAAATGTAGTGCCCCTGACGCCGTACAGTTATGACAATCAATATTACTGACTGTATTCCTTGTGCTGTACGTTCCTGCGACTATGTTTATAACCAGCCATTGGTACTTCTGTCACTTCTTCCTTTTTACCCATAACCCCCCTCTCACCTGGCAACCCCTGGAAAGGCCACTTCTTTAAAACCCATTTTCCAGACTGAGATATGAGTGACGTATCACACCATGTTAATTTCACATACACAACATAATGGTTTGTCATTTGTATACATTGCAAAACGATAACACAACATGTCTACCGGTCTACATCGCCCCCACTGTTACAAAATGTTTTTCTTGTGAGAACTCCAAATGTATTCTCTAAGCAACTTTCAAATCTACAACACAGTACTAGCAGCTATAATTATTAGGTTCTACGTTACATCCCACGATTTACTTACTTCATAGCTAGAGGTTAGTACCTTTCCACACCCTTCGCGTTGCTGCCCACCCAACCCCCTGCCTCTGGTAACGGCAATCTGTCCTCTGCATCTATGAGGGTTTTTAGATTCTACACAGAAGTGAGATCATCTAGTATTTCTCCCTCTCTGTTGGACTGATTTCACTTAGCACAATATCTTCTAGGTCCTCAATGTTTTTGCAAATAGCAGAATTTTACTTTTTATGGCTGAATACTATTCCATGGTCTATTTTGTACCACACGCTCTTTCTCTGTGCATCCGTCGGTGGGCACCTGGGTGGCCCCCACATCTTGGCTACTGTACATGATTCTGCAGTGAATGTGGGGGCACATGCATCTGTGTGAGTTACTGTTTTCATTTACTTTGGAAAAACTCCCAGAAGTAGAATTGCTGGATCCTATGTTGGTCCTATTTTTAATTTTTTGAGAAACCTCCATACTGATTTCCATAATATTTGTACCAATGTGCATTCCCACCAACAGTGCCCAAGGGTCCCTGTTCTCCACATCCTCACCAGTGCCTGTTATCTCCTGCCTTCTTGGCAACAGCCATTGCAGCAGGTGTGAGGCGGTATCTCACTGTGGTTTTTATCTGCATCTCCCTGATGATCAGTGATGCTGAGCATCTTTTTACGTGTCCGTTGGCCATCAGTCTGTCTTCACAGGGAAAATATTCAGATGATCTGCCCAATTTTTTCATCAGCTTGTTTTATGAGTTCTTTGTATATTTTGGATATGAACTTGTCACATATATGATTCACAAATATTATTTTCCATTTACAAGGTTGCCTTTTCATTTTGATGATGGCTGCTTTTTTTTTTTTTGCCTTGCAGAAGCCTTTTAGTGTGATATGGTCCTACTTGTTTATTTTTGCTTTTGTTGTCAAATCCAGAAAGTCATCATCGAGACTGATGTCAGGGAGCTCATTGCCTGTATGTTTTCTTCTGGGAGTTTTATGGGTTGAGGTGTTACATTCAACTAGGTGATCCACTTGAAGTTATTTTTTGTGTGTGATGTAAGCCACAGGGTACAATCTCATTCTTCTGCATGTGGCTGTCCAGGTTCCCCAACATCCTTCATCAAAGACACTGTCCGTTTCTTATTGTGCATTCCTGGCTCCTTCATCATGCACTATTGACTACACATCAGTGAGTTTATTTCTTGGCTCTTTACTCTCTTTCATCATTCAGTGTGTCTATTTTCATGCCGATGCCACACTGCTTTGATTACTTTAACTTTGTAAAATGTTTTGATCAGAAAGTGTGATTTGTCCAGTTGGGTCTCCATTCTAAAAGTTGCTCAGGTTATTTAGGGTCATTTGTGGATCCACACAGATTTTAGAGATTGTTTGTTCTATTTCTGTGAAAAAATGCCATTGGCATTTTCATAGGGATTACATGAAATCTGAAGGTTGCTTTTGAGTATTGTGGATGTTTTCACCATATTATTTTCTCATCCATGAGCATAGAATATCTTTTCATTTATTTGTTTCTTTTAAATTTTTTTCATCAATGTCTTACAGTTTTCAGTGTGCAAGTCTCTCACCTCCTTAGTCAAATTTATTCCGAAGTATTTATTCTTTTTGATGCACTGTATATGGATTGGTTTTTTATCCTCACTGAGAACATGCTTATTGATTTTAGAGAGAGGGAAAGGGAGGGAGAGAGGGAGAGAAACACTGATGTGAGAGAGAAGCATCCATCAGTTGCCTCTTGTGTGCACCCCAACCGGGGATTGAACCCTCTTCAACCCAGGCACGTGGCCTCCCCCAGAATCAAAACAGCGACTTTTTAGTTTACAGGACAACACGCCAACCAACTCAGCCACACCGGCCAGGGCGGGATTGGTTTCTTAATTTCTCTTTCTGTTTGTTATTAGTGTATAGAAATGCAACTGACTTTTGTATACTGACTTTGTATCTTTTAAGTTTAGTGAATTTATTTTATCAGTTCTAACAGTTACTTTTGGTGGAATCTTTTCTACATCTAATATCATGTCACCCTCCAATAGTGACAGTTTTACCTCTTCCTCTCCAATTTAGATGCCTTTGATTTCTTTTTCTTGTCTGATTGCTGTGGCTAGGACTTCCAGTACCATGTTAGATAAAAGTGGTGTGTGCATCCTTGTCTTGCTTCTGATCTTAGAAAACAAGCTTCCTGTGTTTTAAAACTGAGTGTGGTATAAGTTGGGATATTGTCATAGATGCCCTTTATTATGCTTCCTCTATCTCCACTTTGTTGAAAGTTTTTTTTGTTGTTTTTTTAACCATGAATTACCAGTAATGTTGAGTTTTATCAAATACCTCTTTGGAACAAAAAACGTGGCCTTTTCAGCAACTTCCCTCAGTAACAATATAGCATCAAACACTGGCTTCAAAGCACAGGTCCCAGATGTCCCAGGAGGAATCTGTTTGGATCTGTCCGTCGGGATGGGAATTTGTAGGAACACAAGAGCATTGTGGGATGCACAGGGTGAGGGAGGCTTTCATGTTCTCATGACATCTTTCATGTTAGTGCATGCCTGTCTGTACACCTTACACCTCACCGAGTCCAGAAGGAAATCCTGTTCTTCCACCCTGGCTTCCTCAGACGAGCTTATTCCCAGCCCCAGTGCTCCAGCTCCCCCAGCTGGAAGGGTGAGGGAACTCGGGGCTCTGCGGGAGTCTGACCTTCCCGGGAAACCAGCTTTCTTGGAAGGACCATTGGAAGCTGACACAATCACAGGACACATCCCAGAATTTAAGTAACGGTCCCAGTAGCACACATGGCAGTGTGCCATCCTCAAGGCGAACTCTCTCATGCTGGAACAGACTGAGGCTCTGCAAAGCCAATTAGAAATTTGCAAAAATGCTAAGCCGGTCCCCAATAAAATGGCACTCAGCGGGGAATGTCAGGTGAGGTGGGCGTCCATGTCATCGAAGCTAAAACCACAGTTTTGATTTCTGACGATCAGAGTCCTTGGCCTTGTGGGGGGAGAAGGCTCCCAGGGCCTTAAGCTTTTGCAGCAACAATGTAACACTCAGATTCGGTCTCATCATCGGCTGGCAGGCCCCACAATCCCCTCTGCTCTGTGTTTCAGGTTGGGCTTCCCGGTGATGGTCGTCTCCTGCGCGGTGGGCATGTGCTACCTGCTGCTGGTGCACGTGGTGATGGGATGGAACTGACAGACCCACAGCTCTGGAAGACGGAGGGAAGCTGGCTCCGACAGCCGCACCAGGAGAACACCCTCCACGGCCACTCATGGGGGGGACAAGGTGCTTACCTGGGGCGCTCTGGGCTGCAGACCTTTGGCATCCGCACTCTTATTCAGTGGACTGCTGGCCAGTCGTGGCAAATGTAAGATAACTTACCCAAGGCTCCCCGACAGGAAGTATGTATATTTCATGATGCTTCTTGTCAGGCTACGAAAAGATGCGAATGCTGTAACCCCGCCCACATGGCTTGTGTTGTTCTTCTGGCATTTCTCCTGAGCTAGCTATAGTTTTGCTTCATGTAATCACTTTTCATATTAAAATAATCAGTGTTCAAGTTGTGCACCCTCTGCAGACAGACATTCTCTGCCTGGGACAGGCGTAGAGTTTGTGAGGGAACGTTTTATGTATAAAGAAAATAATAAAGTCTCCCTTGGCAAAAGGCCTTAGAGTTTGTTAGCCTCTTCATTTGTTTTAGTAGTTTACAGTGTGTAAAATTGTATTTTATGCATCTATTTTTCTCTGGAGTTTTAAAAAAGACTTTGTTCATTTATTTCTAGAGAGAGGAAGGGAGGGAGAAAGAGAGGGAGAGAAACACTGATGTGTGATAAATATATGAATAGGTTGTCTCTCACGTGTGCCCCCTACTGGGGACCTGGCCCACAACCCATGCAAGTGCCCTGACTGGAAATCAAACCCGCAACCTTTCAGTTTACAGAACGGTTCCCAATCCAGTGAGCCATACCAGCCAGGCCTTTTCTTGAGAGTTTTTAAGTCCTTGATTACAAGTCTAGAAATTTGACTTAAAGAAAGTCACCAATACTTAAAAAATACTTTACATGGTTCACAGCCTAGAGTAATAATCTTCAGTTTTAATGGCGGTGCCGGCGATGTCTGTCCGGCACTCAGCTCTGGGCAGCCCGAAGTCTCTAGTAAACATTTATCTAAAACATAAAAAAATTATTGATTGATTTTAGAAAGAGAGAGAGAGACATCAATTTGTTGTCTCATTTATTTTTTTTTAACCTTCACCCGAAGAAATATTTTGAATTGCTTTTAGAAGACACGATAAGAGAGAGAAAGAGAGAGGGGGAGAGACATCAGTGTGAGAGAGAAGCATCGATTGCTTGCCTCTCATAGGCGCCCTGGCCAGAGATCAAACCCCAAACCTAGGTATGTGTCCTGACTGGGGATTGAACTTGCAACCTTGGCATGTTGGAATGCTGCTCTAACCAACGGGACTACGGGGCCAGAACTTTTAAAAAATGTTATTGTTTGGCAAACATTTTATTAAATGCTGTTGTTTTGGGCCCTGGCTCAGTCGCTCAGTTGGTCAGAGCATTGTCCCGACATATATACCAAGGTTGTGAGTTCAATCCCCAGTCAGAGCTCATTCAAGAATTAGCCAATGAATGTGTCAACAAGTGGGATGACAAATCCATGTTTCTCTCTCTCTCTCTAATCAATTAAAAGATGCTGCCGTTTGCGGAGCATTCGAGGTGCGGCAGGAACCAGCGAGGGCAGGAGGGCGCACGGAGTGTCCGCTAAGGCCTCCTGCCTCTGCCTGGACGCTGGGCCTCTCCCTCGGTTTCCAGTCAACATGCAAGGTCCCCAGAGATGTACACATGTCCTGGGAACTCCGCTGGAAGTGGTGGCTGTAAAAAAGCATCGGATTTCAAAAGGGTTAAGAACCCCAGGGCACCACGAACTGGAAAGTGGGAGACCTCTTCTCGTCCCAGTTCTGTCTCCCGCACCCTCAGGGAGGGCGTGCTCTTTCTAGTTTAGAATCGGGATTTGTCCAATGGCCACCTCTTTCCTTCCTGAAAGGTGAAGGGGACAGGGAGAGGGACAGGGGAGTGGTCTCCCAGCTCAGGAAGTCAGCCAGGAAGCTTTTTGTCTGGGAAGAAGCAACTCTGTAAGAATTCTTTCCCAGCCCGCCCGCTGTGCAGCAGGTCCTTCCCAGGTGCGCCTTGTGGATCTTGGATTCATGATTCCCACTCCAAAAAGGCAAACCCAGCTCTGGCCGGGTGGCTCAGCTGGTTGGAGCATCATCCCATACACCAAAAGGCTGTGGGTTCGATTCCCGGTTGGGGCAGGCACAGAGGGCAACCTGTTGATGTTTCTCTCTCTCTAAGGTCAATCAAAGACACGTGCTTGGTGATGGGTAAAAAACAAAAGGCGAATCCACCTGAATGGTCCAGCACGCCTGTCTCTGATTTTTCCTGATGCTGGTGGTGGACATTAAAAAAAAGTAAATAAAAACCTCTAATTTTGTGTAACATACATTCAATCCCACCTAAAGAATCAACATTTACCTCCAGCTACCGCCTCATTTCTAAAACTTTTAGTGTTCTTCTCTGCTTTTTCCACATTCTCTTCTCCAATATACTGTCTTTTTATTACTCTAAGTCATTCGGGCGCACACACACAAAAGCACTACCCGGCCACCTGAAAAAAAGACGAACTATAACGCAAGACTCATACCGACCGGTCTTGGGAAAAATACAGATCTTCCTCAAGAGCCCTCCCACCCTCCTCCACCAGAGGCAACTGCAAACACAGTCCTGATGTTTTTGTTCTTCTTTGTACATAAAAACTCCCATGTCATTGCTCCCCAGCAGAGATCCTGCGTCCTGGCGTCCTGGGCCCCGGGTCCGGTTGCCTTACTTGTGCGGGTGCATGAGCTGTACCGGGGGCCTCCGAGGGGCGTATGCTGAATCTATCATTTTTTTCTTTTGTAAATCCTCACCCACCCGAGGATACGTTTATTTTAAAGAGAGAAAGGGGAAGAGGAAGAGAGAGACAGACATCGATGTGAGAGAGAAACACTGATTGGTTGCCTCCAGGTTACGCCCCAAGTGGGGATCGAACCCACAATCCAGGCGGCATGTGCTCTGGGCAGGGATCGAACCCGCAACCTTTTGGTGCGCAGGACGGCGCTCTAACCCACTGAGTCACCCTGCCAGGGCTGAATCTGGCCTTTGTGCCGATTTTCTAGGCACCTGCCCTGATGGCGTCTGTCCTCAAGTGGAGGGGACAGCGATTTAAATCAGTTTGTCGACCTGCAGCGGTGAGTTCGGGGAGAAAACGCGGATGGCAGTTTCGCGGGGGGCTCGTCGGGCGGGTCTGGGCCGCCCCGGCCGGACGCGAGTGGAGGGACCGGAGAAGAACGCGGCCCGGCGGGCGGGCTGCAGCGCGGGGGCTGCGGGACAGGAGCCGGTCCGACCGGTCAGTTTCGGCGTCTCAGGTGCTTTTGTTCGTTGGGGAAGCAGCTCGGTGAGTGAGGGTCCCATCCGCGGTCGCGTGGAGGACAGAAGTTGGGAAGGTGAGGCGGCACCGTCCCTGCCGCGGGAGGAGACACAGGCCCGGCGACCCGCGTCTCAGGGGCGCGCGCACCGGGGCGGCCCCGCGACACGGAGCCTCCGAGCCGGTTTCCGGGGCGCAGAGCGCTCTCCTCGGCCGTCAGCTCCGCTCGGCCGCTCGGGGAAGGAGGGCGAGTTCCCCCGAGACGGAGGACCGAGACGGAGGACCGAGCCCCGAGGCCTCGTTTGGCCCCGACAGCCACAGCGACAGCCACAGCGACAGTCACAGCGACAGTCACAGCGACAGCCACAGCGGGGCGACCTCGGGACCCACGTGCATCTCCAACCAGCAGAACTGGCGCCAGACGGTGACCGACTGCAGACGCGATGGAATCGTCAGCTGCGCCGGGAGCGGGAAGCTCCGGCCACCAGAGGTCGCTGCGCGCGGAGCCTCCGCCTGCCGTGTGGTCACCGCGGTCGGAGTCTCCACGGAGAACCGCACGCGCACGGCAGGCGCGGAACCGTCCTCACTGCCCGGCCGGTGGGTCCCTCCGCGCGGCCCCGCACGCGCCCCCGCGCCCGCTGCGGGCGCAGACCGGGTCCCCTCCGGCGGGGCAGCGGCCCAGGGACGCGCCTCGGACAGAACGAGGGCGCCCGCCGCGAGTTCCCCCGCATGAAGCCCGCCCCGAGGAGGGACCGTCCCTCTGGCCCAGGAGCAGGACGCCGGGGACGGCGACCGCCTCCCGCTGTCGCTCCGAGGACGGAGCGTTCCGGGCCGGGCCCCGCGGGGGCCGGGGCGCCAGCGCTGCTCCCCTGAAGGACCCCCCGAAACAACCGCGACGACGAAAACCGAACCAGCGCCACGCCCGCAGCAGAGCGCGCGGTGAGGCAGACGCAGTTTCTCCCGGCGCCGCGAGGCCCTCGGCCCGTTTCCCCCGCACGCCGCAGCCCCGCCTCTGCCTCCGTCGCCCCTTCCCCGTCCCGCGGCCCCTCCCGGAGCCGCCAACAGCCTCAGCTGCTCGGGGCGCGGCGGGGACAGGGTTAGGACGCCCGGGTCTCCGCGCGTTTCATTGTTGTCCCCGTTGCGGGAAAAGCACAGACCCGCGAGCAGGCTCAGCCAGGGGTCGGGGACCGGCCGTTCCCCGCCCTTCGGTCTGCTTCTCGCACTTTTATGGGTCCCGCCGCGGGAGGAAAGCCCTGGACACTGGCGCGCGCGGATGAACGTCGGGGCCGCGTCTGTGCCGAGGGAGGCGGCGGGTGAAAGGCCCGGCAGCGGCGGGGCGCGCGCGAGGCCTCCTGCCCTGCAGGGGTCGCTGCGGCTCAGCGCCAGGCGCTGCCGGCACCTGACCCGCGTCTCACCGTCAGGGGTTTGTGACTGCGATGCACTTGCTTAAGGTGATGGGTCTCCCCCGCCTTCGGACACTGGTTCGAGCTGCCGAGCTCACTGATTCCTAGTCCCGGGGCCCCCGCTGTGCGGACCACCCGCGCGGACCTGCCGACCAGCGCAGACCACGCGCGGGAGCCCAGACCTGTCGCTGCGGAGCTGGAACGAGCTTCGGAGAAACTCGGGGCGAGAGCGGAAGTCCCGAGCTCAGCCGCCAGGGGGCGCTCCGCCCTGGGCTCGGTGAGCGGGGCGGGGACCACGGCTAATAAACGCGTTATTTTGTTGGGTTACAGGGGACGTTCCTCGCTTCGGCCTGCAGGCGGCGCCGTCAAAACTGTCCCCGCCCCCTTCCGGGAAGCGGGGCAGAATGTCAACTTCTCTCTTTTGGAACGTCCGCCTGCACGACCGAGTACGCTGCAGATGAATTCAAAACACACTTTCTGATGAATCCAACCCACAGCCCCGGGAACACGGTTCCGCCGCTCTGCCCGCAGGCCCGTCACGAAGAGTTCCACTTGTCGTCATCTGGCTTCCCCGCGCAGTCCCTGCCTGGTCCGCGCCCACCGAACCGCTCGCTCGTTCACGTTCACGCAGACAGACTCCTCAGAGGGGCTTGCACGTGGCCGGACCTTAGTAACAGCGTTTGTGCATTCACACATCATTGCAGAGGCCATCGTACCGACAAGGACAGGCGCGATGCATGAAAAGTCCTGGAGATAAAATGCTCCCTGCCCTGTGTTCCCAGCCGGTCCTGCGGGTGTCTCT